AAAAAGTCCCAGGCTTGAGCTCATGATATAATTCATGGGTCCACATAGGACAGCATGCCCAACAGACAAAGAGCAGAAGAACCATAAGCAAATTGTGAGCTCTTCCATGTACCATAACACTTCATTTGAGAGCAGAAATTAGAATTTAAAAAAAAAAATGCAGAAAGCGTTTTCATCCAAAATTAAAGGCACTTTCCAATGCGAAAACCCATTTTTAAAAATCTTGATCACACTACCTCACCAAACCTTCCAAAAAAATCAGTTGTGAGTCATTTATTCAGTTTTTCTTTCTGAAAAAAAATAATGCATCTTGCATTCTGTCACTCTTATAATTCAAAAGACAGAGTGAGACTTTTTACTTCCTTCACATTTGTTAATGAAATGAAGCATGGGGGAAACGATTCTATGGCAATCGGTTACAGTCATCGGCCCGGCAAACAGATTTTTGTGCTTAATTTTGGCCCCTTCACAGTCAGGAGAAGTCAAACTTCAAAGCCAAATTGTCATTGGTGTCTTTCTAGACCTCATATCCCCATTGGAGCAAAGAGAACATCTGTCATTGTGTGATCCATTGAAACCATCTGGGTGTTGCTGGATCTTTCCCTATCTCAGCTGCAGATACGCACAGAAATGAGGTTAAAATTACATAAGAAATTGAATTGTCATTTGACCTTCTGTTGCTGGGCCTTGGGGTCAGTTGCAAAACCCACATTTTATGCGGTTACCCTCAGAATCTAGGCTTGACAACTGGTCTAAAATATACAGCTCCTTGCAAACCCAATCATCCACCCATTGGCAACTGTTTCGTTTCACCACGATATCATGAGAAATCCGAAACTCTAATAATTCTCATTTTAGGTCTGATTCATTTTACCGTTTATCCCCCCAGTGGATTACTGTGATGGCTGACTACGTAAGCCCCAAATCAATGGTGAACAATATGTTTTAAACTGACATTTGCTTTGACAAAAAACAAACAAAAGTTCACTTCTTTTTACGTCCCCACCCGAAGATTTAAGGCATATTCTCCCCTTGTAGATCTCTGTCCAGACAATGCCAATCTCTGCTTCCTTCTTTCCTTAGAGGTTATTGTATGTTTTCATATACAGCAAAATGTGCACAAGCCGGAAGCTGTGTAAGGCGGAAATCTGTCAGAGAAGGAAAACTCAAATATTTTCCACTAATAGAGAGCGATAGAAAAGTGGTAAGACTGAACCCTGTCAAAGGTGGAAAACTTGGGAGACCCGGAAAAACAAGGCAGTCCCATCGAGTTCCGGTTCTCGCAGGTTTCACTGTATAAGGTATTCGCCTTAAATGTCCTTGGTGTTGTTCAGAGCACCCATTGGCAAATATAGACCTTTCATGGGGGCAAATAGTTAGATGGAAGAAAGCCCCATAACCTTGGCACTGAGTTACAACATCCCATCTAAGCCAATGCAAGAAGAAAGTCCATCACAGTGAAAGCAAGGGGTTAAACCAAACCCATTGCTGGGGAGTTGGTTCCAACTCATAGAGACCCTATAGGACAGTGTAGAAGTGCCACATAGGGTTTCCAAGGAGCAGCTGGTGGATTTGAACTGCCGACCTTTTGGTTAGCAGCCGAATGCTTAAGTACTGCACTACCAGGGCTCCAGCAAGGGGTTAGGAGGGTGCTTTTCCCAAAGGGGTCTCAACTGTAATTAGGACCTGTCAACTGAAGTATTACTTAACTGGGAAGCTTCTCCCCAAACAGGGTGATAGTGTCATTTTTCAAATCAACTCTCCAAACGTTTGCCTTTATGCAGTAAAATCTTGCTACTGGCTCATCTAAATATGTTCCTTTCGAAAGCAACTTGAAAGCGAACTCGTAAATAAGAACATGGGACTGATTGTCTGCTCATAGAACTCTTTTTGAAAAAACATATTAGGTGGCTAGACAAAGGGAGACTTTTTCTTCTTCTTCTGGTGCATGGTGGGTCCCATGGGGAGAGAAGAGAAAGCATTTTGTAAGCATGGGCCTTGATGGTTAGAATTCCTGATCCAGCTAGTATTCTTAATCCTTCCATTTGATCCCGGCTGAATTGTCTTCCAATCCATCTCGCTGATTGCTTCAGGAACATCTGACACACTTTAATACTGAAATGTAAATGAGACACCCCCACAAACCACCTCCACTCTCTCAGGTTGGCCTAAATTTGGACTTTACTTTCCTGGCTATACTTGATCTGCTCTTTTCAATCACTTGTCATTCCTCCCCCAAAAAGTGTTGTTACAGAAGATGAAGAAGACGTGATGCTGTAAAGTCACCCAGTTTAAAGGCAGCTCGCAGGAGCACTTTGCTGTTTCACCTCAAAGTCTATGAGACCTGGTGGTGCAGATCAGACCCCAGGGACTAGTTGGCCCTTTTGGGGTGCTCTCTGCCCTGAGGGCCGCAGGAACAGCTAGCAAGTTTGAAAATTTCTGCAGCAGGACTTAAATCCGTATGGTCAAAGCAAAAACTATTTGCACACCAGACCCAAATAAATCCTGAAGTCAGAGCAGAGTCAGACATAAACCATTGCTTTGACCCATGCGACAATTAGTCACAAGAGTAAGTAAATGATCCTTTGAAATCCACTCCTGGCCTCAAAGTTATTAAAAGCGGAAGCCACATTTAATTCAGCTTCATTTAATCAAAGAAAACCTTTTTTTTTTGTGGGGTTGGGTGAGGGGAATCCAGTTCTCTCCCAAGAAAGAAGATTCTGTTCAACTTTATTAAATGTTGTAAGCAGATTTAAGTTTTAGTTAAAGGACAAATTCTTACTCTCCAAGGAATAGACTCACAGGAATTTGGAGATCAGCCAGAGGGTGGGCACTAAGCTGGCTGGGCACTTCTTCAGTGGCGGCCTGAGGGCAGGGAGTTGGGGGGCTGCACGTTCTTTGAGAGGGAAAGGTAGACACCAAAGGAGAGTGCCGGAAGATATTTGATGAGCAGACAAAGGAGGACAAAAATGTGGGATTTGCATTTCATGGGATTTCATCAACATGAACAGGACCAAAGAGGAGAGTTTTTAGCTCTGCCAACGTGGCTGATGAGATGCTGGGGGGCAGGGAGCAGTTACTGCTGAGCAGCTCCAATTACGTGTTCAGTGAAATGAGGTTGTGACCCTGATACAGGGGTGAGCTGGGGAAATGCGTCAGCTCCCTGGAGACCCACAAGGTGAAGTGAGCAAGGCCGACCTGTGGCCCTCTGGAGAGCTGGAGAGCCGGAGTGCAGGAGAGGTGGCAGGAGAGGCATCCCTCCCTCCTGTGCAGAATCCCCAGGAAGCTAACTTAACTCAGGAGAGGGGCTGCCCAATGCTGAGCTGATTCCTCAATCCTTCTTCTATGGGACGCTATTATGTACTCTATAAAAACCACCACCCCACACAAGCGTACAGATGAGCTTGCCAGGTGAGCCGACTCAAGGTGAGTTGACCCTGGAATCTCTGTAGAACCCAGTAGAAAGCCCCTGGACCTAAGTCTGTAGGCAATGGGGGCCTTGTCCTCATTGCCCCTACCTCCAGTGAAGACTGCCAACTTCCATTTCTTCACTTCCCACCCTCATCCTGCCTCCCTCTCTGGCACCAGCTGTTCAGAGAATTCCACATGCATTTGTACATCAAGATCCACCTGGCGGTCGATTGCCCAGCATTGCAGTCCAAGTGCTGGACTGCCTAGCACTAAATGGTCACCTTGAGCAAGTTAGTTAACATCTCTGTGCCTCAGTTTCCTCTGTCAGTTGAGAATAATAATAACATCTCCCTCACAGAGTTGTTCAAATAAGGTAGCACGCATAGGACGCTTGGCACTGGGCTGGGCCCTTAGACCACTTAGCTGTTGTTGTAGCTACTGCTATTGCTGTTGTTGAGAGACTTCCTGTCTTCCACCTCATATTTGTACTCTTCCCTGCTCAAGCCCTTGGTTCCATTCCAAACCTGGTTCCTCAATTTTATAATGCTCTGCCCGTTCCTTCTTTCTGGTATGTTTATATCAAAAGTCACCCATCAGAGAGATAAAAGCAGCAAGGAGGAAATTCTATCCTGGAAACCCTGGTGGCGTAGTGGTTAAGAGCTCTGGCTGCTAACTAAAAGCTCGGAAGTTCAAATCCACCAAACGCTCCTTGGAAACCCTATGGGGCAGTTCTACTCTAGACTTCCAAAGAAAGGACCACCTGTCAGTCAAAAAAAAAAGAGAGAGAGAGAGGACAAAAGATCTTTAAAAGTAATTATTTAAATGCCAACCAAGAGGAAATGAAAATAGACTCGGCTGGGTTCCCTAGTTGAATTAAAGGGTGCTGTTTTACAACCTCTTAAAAAAAAAGGAAGAAAAGAATGTGCTCTTTCTAAACATAAAATGAGTTATCAGTTTGCCACAAAAAAAACAGGCTGTATAAACGTTTTCAGAGAAATGGCTTTCAATTTTATAATGAAGCTTGTCTTCTACAAATGCCTCCCCCGTCTCATAGCCAATATCTATCACATAGATTGCTCACGGGTGATAGCATTTGTATTTCTTTCTCCCGGTGCTCTTACTAACTGCAGATGTAGTTTGTAGAGGCAATGCTTCTACACAGCCGTGTGATAAAATGCCGTTCCACAGCAAATCCTTTTCCACTTCTCCTCCAAAGCTTGCTTTCATCAGATGTAGAGCTCTAAAAGGTATCCACCAAAGAGAACACATACGGGCAGGCTGCGCGGAGCACACACCTTCATAAGAGAAGAAAACCTAAAGCCCTTTCCAAAGTCACGATTAAATCAGGAGCGAGCAATTAACCCCTTTCTCTTGCAAAGGCTAACAAAAAGTTGCAAACTTAACCAAATGCTGCATTTGCCTTTGCAAATCAAGATACAAATAGTGTCAGTCCTCAAGGCAAATAAGTACAGGAGGGATGTGTTCTTCTCCATCACTCCTAAACCCTCCACGTTTTCTTAGACTAACTGCGGGCGAGGTCCCCTCTGCTCACTCCCGAGTTTTCCTCTCCAAGTAGAAACATCACTCACCTCACTCATGTTGGCCTTAGCAGAACACTTCCAGGATCTCAGCGCTGAGCACAGCGAGGGCTGCACAAAGATCGCGATCCCCCCGTCCTGGTTTTTCTCTTAAAAAGGGCTGCCTGGTGGCATCATTCCTCCAAAAAGCCAATGAGATTCATTCACCTGTCGGAAAGCCACGCGTGTATCTGAGAGTCCAAAGGGCCACCTAGTGGAGCAAAACGAAAGAACAGGCTAGGTCGCTGCTCCAAGTTCTTTTTGCCAGGGAAAGAAGAAAATACTAGTTAAAAAAAAAAAAAAAAAAAAAAAGTGTATATAATTATTTAATTTATTTGATTTTATTTATTATTGTACATACATGTGTATGTACAATAATAATATATATATGGAGCCCTGGTGGTGGAGTCGTTAAAAGCTCAGGCTGCTAACCAAAAGGTCGGCAGTTCGAATCCACCAGCCTCTCCTTGGAAACTCTATGGGGCAATTCTACTCCGTTCTATAGCGTCGCTAAGAGTCAGAATCGACTCCATGGCAACGGGTATGTATACTTATTTTCATTTATTTTGTATTTTTATAATAAATAAAAATATA